ATTGCCCTTAGATCCTTCAAGAATTCCTGTTACTTTCTTTTATAAAACACACTGATACTATCAACTAAATGCTAAGTTTTTATTCCTAAACCAAGTTCCTTTCTTTTACCATTCTATTCTAGATCCCTCTTAATACAAATAATATAAATGTTATCCGACACAATCTGCATCTGTATCTCATCTGTTTCTTTTGCTTAATTATCCTCTTGAATAACTCAACATACATGTCCAAAAGAATACACCATCAACATATACCCTTTTGTCTATCTTTCTCCAAATAACTTTGCTATACTCATTTTTACGTTAGTAAGAAGAAGCATTGCCAACAATTGCCATGCAAACAAATTAGGAATGCAAATTACCTACACAGGACAATTTTTGAAGAAAAAGCTTCTAAAGCAACAAACAGAACTTTCAGAGTGATAAGCATATATCAATCAAGAATCAGCCAAATCGCCAGTAATAGAAATCAAGCATCATATATCAATTTAATTAGAAAATACAAGGAAACAAAAGCACACCTCTATCATTGGGTAAAATCGTGATAGTGCCCATGTCTCTGCCTCTTCATTGCGTGCTTTCCTTGCTGCGTGCCTCTTCTACTTTCCAACAAAGAATATTGAAAGATATCCATGAAAATCACTTGCAAGAAAAATCATTGAATGCAAATGCATCAAAATTAAAAAAGAAACTAACATGTTTACCTTATGTACATCAAATTTGAGAGAGAAAACCCCTCCTGATGTCTTTTTTGTATCTGCTCCTCCCAAGAATCTCATATTATTCACAGCAATAACATCATCAGCTGATAATCTTGCTAGCTAGAACACAAAGAAAAACTCATGAATCCACTGGAAGCAAACTACACATGGCAGAGCACAACATATAAAATGTTGAATTGTGATAGAAAAAACACAAAATTAACAAGTGATGTGCACTCTTCAGTTAAACCAAACTACTGAACCAAAATGAACTGGTTCAGTCAATTATTTCATCCAGAAGCAAATTTAGTTTGCACGGCCATTTATCAGTTATCAGTTCAGGTTCGTTTCAGTTCATGGAGGACCCCAACTGAAAGAAAATCGAATAGCACATGTAGAGAAGTAGAAAAGGCAAAGTTGTTATTCTATTTAACCCTGATCTCTTTTAAACAGAGATTAAAAGGATATTACAAAATAGGTATGAGATAATTCATATCTCATAATATCTCATATTATCTACTAATATCTATTAATACTAATAATATCTAACACTCTCCCCCAAGTTGGAGCTTATATAGTATATATGCCCACTGCCCAACTTGTTACAAGTAGGAACAAAGCAACTAGTTTCAAGAGCTTTGATAACATTATCTATGATCAAAGTGCTTGAAAACATTAGCATTCAGAGAAGTGTGGTTATAGCTAGTGATCACCGGAGCACAAGCCAAGAGTCAAAATAAAGCCAGACAAGGACCACAAGAAAATCATCGTTTATGTGAATCAGTTGACACTAGACAGGCAGCCAGTAATAGGAGACCTTCAACATAAGAATCAGTCTTATAAAACACATATGGAGGCTAGAAGAAATTCTAGGCAGGTCAGCCAGAAGAATCCCTAGGCGGGTCACCCTGAAGAAACTCTAGGTGGGTCACCTAAAAGAAACTCTAAGCAAATCAGCCAAAAGAAACAATTCAAAATCATCCAGAAGATGGTGAAGGGGCAATGTTCATGTGAACAGTGCATAAGCAGTGCCCGAGGGTTACTGAGCATCGATGAACAGAACCACTGGTTATTGTTCATTGAGGAGTAGTACCTGCAATGTGATGAACATTGTCAAAATTTTTTCGCGGCTGTTGGTTTTTATTGAAGTTCAACCAAGATTTAGTAATATAATGATGCAGAAGCCAAGGATGTTGAAGCCGACGTTGTTGAAGCCAGAAGGGTTAACATGGAGGCGGTGCTTTCAGAAAACCCCCTTTGCTGCCCTGATATCTTAAAAAAGAGAAGTTCTTTGGGACCGAGAGGTAGCCTCTGGTACCATATAGAGAAATAGAAAAAGAAAAAGTTATTATTCCATCTAACCAGCGGCGGAGCCTGGAGTTTCATTCAGATATGACGCAAAAGTTGCAGACATGATTTAAAAAAATTAAATTGTAATATTTTATAAAAATGCATCGTTGTCTCATAAGATGAGAAAATATATATAAACCATAACAAAGAAGTTAATACATACACATATAAGTATATACACACAAGAGTTTTACATTCAAGGTTTCACTTTTAATATTTTTTCAAAAAATTCTAATTAAATGGTTAAGATTCAATAACGTTTAGATGAATTTTTTTTGGTGATAGACAAAAAAATTTTGGGTGAGGGCTCACACATTTATGACGGGGTGCATGAGATCGATTTTTAATCTAGAATATTAACTAGTATAAAACTATTACATTAATGAATCTCCAATTTCAAGTTGGGCAAGTATATTATTATCAAACCAATCACAATATGAATCCCCAAATTTCAGGTGGGGCACTTGCTCACCTTGAAGACTACGTGGATCTGCCTCTGCATGAAACCGTAACCGACAAGAAAGTTTTTAAAATAGAATAATAAAGAAAATATATAAATTATAAAGATTTTTAAAATTGAGACAAGAGAGTTTTACAAGATAATTATTAAATAATTAAGAAATAACTTTTTCAAGATTTGTGGAAACTTTTATCATATGATCCCTTACTTTTATGCGGCTGAGACCATAGTAAGGTAGTTAAGCAGAGACTACACCTTCATAAAACTAAAATTTGTTTCAATCTACTTAGGAAACCAATTGCACCAAGAATATAATCTAAACCCCTACTCTTGCTTTAGCACAACAAAAAGGGGTTGAAATGCGGATGGAGCTTTTCGCTACAGCGTTTGGCAGAAGTGAAGCAGCTAGTGGTTTATTTTAGGTAAAGTGGGCTTTTTTACTATGATAAAATCCATTACTTACCAAAATAAACTTGACATAAACAATACCTTGGAGTATACAAACAAGAGAAAAATATAATCTAACTCTAATCTAAGAAACTCAGCAATATCTAAAACTCAACAGAAGTACAGAGAGTTTATCTACAAATTACGAAGTACCTGAGACATAAAAATTTAAACAAGAAAATGAAAACTACAAATAACCAGTGAAATATTTCTTTTAGGGGCCATTTAGGACACTGCAATTGAAAATTCAGTGACTGTTGCATCAACTTTTATTGCAGGAAAATTAACCACAAATACGTCATTTGGATATTTGCATTTTTATTGTGGGAAATGTATTTCCAAATCCAAATCCAGTGTTTGGTTAGTCGTAAAAGTAGTTGGATTTGCGTGTTTTGTTGCAAAAATGTATTATTAATCACCAATCAAGTTTTTGTTTATCCGAAATTGTAAAATAATCTACATATATTGATATGTCTCAACTTCCAAGTTGATGTGGCATTAAATTTTAATTTTGTAATCGATAAAAGTACTTGCAACATCTGTTGCAGCCAAATTGACATGGAAAATGCTGCAATTTTTCTACAAAATGGAGATCCAATTACCATTCTCAATTATCTTGTTGCTTATTAAACACTGGAAATAGAAAACTGTCTGTAGCTTTGCGGCTGAAACTCTATTTCCTGTCAAGCAAACAACCTCTTAGAGGCAGAAACAGGAATGAGAAAGGTGCTACTCTGTGCCAAGGCTACAGGAGGAAGTAGCACCATTACTCCCAACATCAAGGTGCACCCGTCCAACATGTATCATACTAGATAAGATGACATTTTGATGAGCACAAGCATTTAGACTATCAAGGTACAAAAGCATGGGAAGCAATGTGTTGACTACTATATGAACACTAGTACTATCAAATAATTTCAATAGATTTGCAAGTACCTGCATTAGCTTTGCTCCTTTGTCACCGTCTATCTTCTCTGGGTACATGGCTGCATAAATCATCAACAAACGCAACTTGTTTTCTCGTGTAGCATCCTGCATGAGAAATGTAAGTCTCAAGTTCTATTCA